CTGATTAACTTATTAACTGATTGATGGATTGACAGGTTGACTGATTGGCTGATTGATTAATGATTGACTGATTTACTGATGAATTGCTTGAATTGTAACTGACTGACACACTTAGTAGGCGAGTGAATGACTGATATTAACTGATTGATGGATTGATTAGTTTTATAAAAGAATGACTGATTGGTTGGTTGACTAATGATTGACTAATTTACTGATGAATTGCTTCAATAGTAACTGACTGACACAGTGAGTAAGCGAGTGAATGACTGATCGACTTATTAACTGATTGATGGATTGACAAGTTGACTGATTGGCTGATTGACAAATGATTGACTAATTTACTGATGAATTGCTTGAATTGTAACTGACTGACTGAGTGAGTAAACGAGTGAATGACTGATCAACATATTAACTGATTGATGGATTGACAAGTTTTATAAAAAAATGACTGACTCGTTTATCACTTCATTCTAACTGACTGACTGAGTAAATGGCGGAATGTCTGATTGACTTACTCAGTCCTCCATTGTAGTTAATTAACTAATTGATTGATTGATTGACGAATTTTAAGAAATAATAACGGACTGGCTGATTGCTTAACTTACTATTGAGATGTGATTGATGGCTAGTGTAGCTAAATGCTTGATTGTATTTCAACCGACTGACACATGAAGTGACTAAATGATTGAAGGACTGACAGAGGCATTAACTATACATATATATAAGACAGTAGGTCAGCTTGTCATTCAATTGCAATCAGTCTGTTTGGCTGCCAACGAGTCAGTTCGTTTGTTAGTCATTCAATCATTTAATCACTCAATCTGTCAGTCAATTAAATACAATCAAGCATTCGCGTATACGTAACTTAATCAAAAAACTATTGGGCACATAATATCACAGTCATGAATATGAAATGGGCTCACGGTCGGACCCAAAGCGCGTATGCATATTCCTCTACATGCATGTTCGTGTGTGTATATCTGGGTATTTCTGTGTGTGCGTGTGTGTGTGTGTGAGAATGTTTGTGTATGCCWGCCAATTGAGCGAGAGCGAAGTCGCACAAGCGACAACAAATGTTCACAATTGAATGCCAAATGAAGTTAATGCGGGCAAAGAAAAAAAATAAAAAAGAAAGGAAAATAAAGAAAACCAATTTCTTAGCTACCCCCGAGATGAAATACTTTTTATCATTCCGCCAAGTAAGAGGTGGCCATATACAAACGTGTTCCATCTTTCTTATCGTTCCCATTGCAAGGCGATAAATAGGTTCGCATTCTGTGTTAGTTAAATTTATGAATATGAAAGTTTAACATATCTGAAATATATCGACTCACATTTAAAAGACAGAGACACTGAGGGACAGGTGAGAGAGCTGGTGCTCTATTGATAATCGCTGCAATTAACGGTGACGAGCGCGTGAACCTGACACGAATGACAGCTCGATGTTAACACCTCAACAACAACAATGAACAAAAGCATTTRCAACCTGCACACAGAGTTTACGACAGGTATATACAGCGAACACAACAACTTTAGCTATAAATCTGTTGCATATTACTATATAATATCTTTATGATTTATAGACTGCAAACTTGATTAAAATTTTTCCAATTTTTGCAATTTTATAATCGTTTGCTATCTCACTGTTTATTTTCATGAGAAGTTCTATATGTTTGAGAGTTTTTCTACAGTTAAAGTCTCAAACAATTGATCAACTCGATTGATTGCGCATATAGGAAAAAAACTGTTCATAATTAAAGCAGCTTGACGTCCTTAATCGGACAACATCGAAGCTGTAATAAATGCAGCGCTTGATAAATAAAAACAACACAGAAATTGAAAAAGAAATATTTGTATAGATTAATATCTGTATAGGAATGCAAACCAATCATACGTAAGGAGCTCGACCTACGACCAATGCATTGGCCTCACAATAAAAAAAAATATATATATATATGTATATATATGTATAGTAGTCGAGACTGCTCGACTACGAGATGCCCTCAGCTTTTGAATGAATAATATACCACTATATACACATAGGCACTTATACACACTTATACATACACATACACATGCAGGCGCTCTGCTAACTGCGCAGTTGACGCAGCGACTGCAACTGGACTGGATGGAGCTTGAGATTTGATATTATTTATCGCATAAATTTTCTTTCACCAATTTTTTTCTAGTTTTCAAAAAACAAAGTTGTAGAAAGTGAAGCTGAGTGTAAAATGTGTTCGTCACTAATCGATAACACTGTAAACGAAATTGCTATCGATTTTATGCAAARCATGAAAACAAAGAAAACCGTTATACCCTGATTTCCCATTTGCAATTGGCTGAAGGTATAAGAATGCAATCATTAAAGTGGAAATTGAAAAGGTCTGCCACAAAAGATCAAAGAGCATGTTATCGATTAATTACCATAACAATGTGTATGGGCATGCCCGACTAGCTGCTACCCTGCACTCAGCTCGACGTCCGTCGATTTTTAGGGTATCGGCTCAGCGAGCCCTTTGCTGTTTGCCCTCTCGTGCTTGTGTGCTCCATAATTGAGCTGCCCGCCGGCGAATCGAGGATGCAAGTGGATGCTATCCTTTAAATTCGATTAACGAAAGGCGAGCTCAACTAGGCGAAAAATTGCCGAGCAACGAGTGCAACGATGCGACGTCGACAAAAAAGCAGAATATTAAATTAATGAAAACAATTATCGGGCAAGCGAGGGTCAATGCACACGCACACACACACACACGCACATACACCCACACACACACACAAATTCATTACACAAAGTTTGGCGTAACTGTTCGATGTTCGTTCAGGGACCTGTTTGCGGATAACTTTCTGCGGTGCCCCCGCATCCGCCCCGCATGGAATTTTACGTGTGTGTGAGTGTGTGTGTGTGTGTGTGTGTGTGTGTGTGTGTGTGGCGCATTCACATGTGGACATTCCGGTCGATCAGGTTGGCCCAACAAATGGGCCTCATTACAACCAAAATCCAAACAAAATGCAACACAAAAATGGCAAATCAATTGCAGGGGCAAGAACAAAGGCTACAATGCCGCCACGCCCCCTAGCCGTAGGACACAGGCCTGGACGGACGGTGTCCGCATTTATGAACGTAATTGAGTGCATTACTTTTGATTGCCTTGCCCATAGATAAGGTTGAAGTAAGCGCGGCAGCGCAATCATATAATGCTACCATCATTTCAACCAATACACTCACACACACACACATACCTACATACACACACACACACACTCAACGGATATGTGTCACGGAAACAATATGCTCTGCCTTGGCCAAGCAATTCGCTTGACTTTTCCATTAGCTTTGCGGCCTCAATTCAATTGACCGTTAGCCCCTACTTGAGAGGACCTTGCCTGAGTGCAATATGCAACTAGACGGATAGTGGAGCATAAGAATTCGGATTCATAGCTCACACTTAGTTTAATTTCGTCTATAGAAAATGTTCGAGTCATAGAAATCAGGGAGTTGGAATGAAAATAGCTAAAAAGACGGTTGTTGGAATAATATAAAATACAATACATACAAACACATACATATGCATAGTGAAGAAGTCTCCTATAAGCTCATGGTTCTCATTTGACTTGGCTGTGGGCTTAGTAATCGCAAAATGGGTTGCAATTGATGGAAACCATAATCGACTATTTCAAAAAATATTCGTATCGGTCTCTAGAACATTTTCACAGCATATTTTTAGTATCAGCAGAGTGTTTTTGCCCTAAAGCGGATGCGACTGTTCCGGAAAAGAGCAACAGATTGACTGCCACACATCTTTTGAAGTTATTGTTTCTGAATTCTCCATCCATCCATCCATATTTGGAGCAATACTAAAGAAAAAATGAAGAAAATTATTTGATTTCTTTAAATTTGATTAATCGATTATTTATCTTCAATAAATAAATATATCAACGAGTTCATTAATCGATTCATAAGTTTTCTTTGCCATCACTAACAAATAGCTCTCCATTGCTTACCTGCCTGCTCACTGCTGTAGAGTGTTTGAGTTTCGGTGTTCGCCATTGACGTCTGCTCGCTGACCCTCGACTTTTGTATGCCCTTGATATTGATATAACACTTGCGTCGCATTGACGCAGCCAATTTGATTGGCAGCCCACTGGCCTTGTTGCCACGTCTGGCCCGATGACCCTGTTAACGTTACTCAATGCGCTCTCTCACTCACTCACTCTCTTTCTCTCTCTCTCTCTCTCTCTGTCTTTGGCAGGTCTGCGCCATTCAGCACGTGGACGTCTGCATGTTCAACAACGGAAAGTTTAAGAACGTCGTCGCCGACTCGGAGAATATTTCGCCCGCCGTGGACCGCACCGTACCGCCGGGTGGCACTTTGAACACCACCGTGGCGCTGCGGCCACAGCGCGGCCCCACCAAGAACTGGATCGCACTGGAGGATACGCTGCAGCGCAGCACCGAGCCGGATGAGATAACTGGCGCCATTGCTGCATCGGCCATACGCTCGCCCAACTTCGTCATGCAGGCCGCCCAGCTGCTGACCGGGCATCCGCTGGCCAGCCCGGCCATGGCCATGCCCCAGCCACCGAGCTCGGCGGGCACAGCCAGTGCTGGCGGCGCTGGGAGTGGCTTGGGCGACGATCGCAATGTGTTTGCCATTTACGTGTCGTACTATGTGAAAGTGAAGCTAACACTGAGCGGCATGGGCGGGGAGCTGTCGCTGAAGCTGCCCTTTGTGCTCGTCCATGTGGATGAGTCGCTGCGCCCGGGCCACACCTCGGCCACGGTGGCCGAGCTGCGCATGGAGCGGCTCACGCTGCAGGATGTGCCAGCCGGGCGCAAGAGCGCCAAGCGCTCCTCTACCATGAATAAATCCTCGAACACCTCGCCCTCATTGGTCGATGGCCCATCCACGAGCGCTGCAGCCGCCGCCGCAGCGGCCGCCAGTGCCGGCGTCGACGATATCACCCAGCTGGACGTCATCGAGGCGGCGGACGAGGAGTTCAACATATGTGTGCCCGTGCCAACTGGGCCGCCGAAGCCCAGCTCCAGCAGCCAGAAGCGGCGACTGCAGCGCAGCGAGACATTGGCCCGAGACATCGACGAGACCGAGGAGGAGCAGGAGGTCGAGCAGCAACAGGTCGAACAGCATGTCGTCCAGGTCCATTTGGAGCAACTGCGCGAGGAGGAGCGCCCGCAGCCAGCCACCGAGACGGGCGCCGTGCCAAAAACAACAAATGTTTGATTCTGATTGTGGTCTCAGATGTTTGCCAAACGAAAGAAGCCGTAGAAGGAGACTGAGGAGGAGACTGAGGAGGAAGAGAGGCAAACGTGGGCCGGACAAAGTCGAGAGAAGGTCAATCGAAATTGGAAGAGCGACCGTAGTGAAAATGAAGAGCGCACTGAAGGAGAAGACGACGAAGAAGGTGTTAATGAAGACGAAGATGATGAAGTAGAAGAAGAAAAAGAAGAAGAAGGTAAAAGTGTATATTTGATGCAAAAGCGTAAGCGATTCAGTTTCGGTTTCAAATGAAAAACGATTTCACGATTAGCATAGAGGGTGGGCGTGGATTTGAAAGGTGATGGAGATGGTGGCGTTGGTGGGGTTGGTGGGGTTGGTGGGATTGGGGTGTGGTTGGTGCTGGGGGCTGGGATTGGGGGCTGGGACTGTTGGCGTTTCTTGAAAGCAGCCAACGAGTATAAATTTAATTTTAGTAGATTTTTCGACAAGCAAATTGTCAGCGTAGCTGCTGCAGCAGTTGAGGGGAGATCGTGAGGGGAATCCACTGGGTGTGGGCGGTCATTTTGAGGGGTGGATGCGTGAGGGGCAGGGTCAATCATGATTGGCGCCACAAGGCACGAATATAGCTAGGTATCGATACCAATTTACTCAATCCAAACGATTGAGAGCCAATGGCAAACAAAAAGCATTCCAAATTGGAGGCGAACTTAAATTGAAAAAATAATAATAATAATAATGATAATAAAAATGAGAAACTAAAAACCGAAAAACTAAAAATATATTTAAAATGAATGGAATTCAATATACGATATATACAATATATATTAGTAAGTGTGAGTTGATATTAAACAAATATGCAAAGCTGTCTAAAATACTCCCAACTAAAAACACATACATATATGTTCACATACATATATATATATATATTTACATACATATACATAATGGAATATAAATATGATATTCAAGCAAAAACCAAACAAATGCAAATGGAATGATTCAAATGAAAACTAGAAATATAAATGTATTATTTTCAAAATGAACAACTAACTAAAAACAAAAACTAAAAAATAAAAGATAAAACATAAAACATAAAAGAAAACATATGAATGAATGAATGGGTACCCACTTCTCAATATCATTGATATACTATATATCTACTTATCCTATGTCAATGTTTGTGTGTTGTAATTGAAAACTAACACTATTCCAAATGGGAATACCATGTAATACCATATTGTAATACTCAATCTATACGAAAACCAATGCGAACACACGAACAAAAACAAAACACAAAATATATAAATGTTACGGTTTCACCTGAAATGTATTTTGAATCAAGAAAAACAAAAACAAAAGTAAAAGCAAAAAAAATATACGAAAAAGAAAAAGAAAACAAAAACAAAAACGAAAACAAGTAAAGAAAATAAGACATACAAAAAAGAAAACATGCCTCTGCGAGTATACATATCTGTGAGTTCTTCTGTCATATTACATGCATAGGTATACACATACAATATATACACCATATATACTACATACATATATACACTCTATATACCAAAGATTACACTCCATTTATACCCTCCCAACCTCCCCACCTCCCCCTGCCCCATTACACTCTTACACTTAGACAAAGATTACACTGAAATAGCCGTAAAGATACGCACAGAGCGCGAATTTAGAGGAACAATGGTGTGAGCCAGGCTGAGCCGCACGATACAGTTCTGTCGACATTCGTATTCCCTCGAGGATATAGTTGTAGAGTTTGTCCCACTTCCGAAATGGAAAATAATAATAGAAAACACAGCATAAGCATAAAGCAAACCAAACCAAATCTAGTCGAGACTGCTCGACTACGAGATCCCTTGAGCCCCTGGGAAGAGCTGCTATTCCAAGGATTCTACGCACACATACGCATGCACTCATTAGCACACGCTCTGCTAACGGCGCAGTTGACGCAGCGCCTGCGCTTGGGCTGCGACTTGGACTATCTAATGGGAAACTATTTGAATAACTATTTGAATAACTTTCCTTCTAGATGGACTATCGTAATCAGACTTTCAGAATGTGATAATGACATTCATATGTGTATATTTGCCAATCCACAAGTCTCTAATACTTGAAATACTGTTGCAAATTTGTAGGGAAGGGGCTGGATTTGAGGCCCGTAGCCAAAAAAAAAAAAAAAAAAGAAAAATTTTTTTTAAATAAAAAAAAAAAAATGGTTAAATTGAATCTTGAATCTAAATGCAACATTTGGAGACTCTAGCTCTATAGATAAACGAGATATAATTTTAAAAACTGATTTTAGACAAGGCTTTTAATCGATAACAGTGAAGCAGTTATCGATGCAATGAATCGATTTGCGCGTGCTATACAGGGACCTACACAAAATTCACGAGCACACGGACAAACAGACAGACGGACAGAGCTAGATCGATTCAACTTGTCGCGCCTTTCAAGAATATATACATATATACTTTATGGTATATGCCACGCCTCCTTCTGTCCGTTACATGCATACATTTCAAGAAAAATATTTAAACCCTAATTTCCCATTCTCAATGGGTTCAGAGGGTGTGAAAACCAAATCGTCAAATGCAGTTCAAAACGTGGCCAAGTGCTGAGTTTGTATTGCTAGCCAACAATCAAGTTAATTATAAATACTAATGGGTATACCCATAGTGTTTCCGGCCGAAAACACACACAAATAATAAATGAAATAAATGAAATAAAAATAAATAAATAAATAACAAATAAACTTAATTGAAAAGAAAAATCTACAAAAGCTATACATGTATGAATGTCTATTTACCAATATTCGATTATATATGTATGTATGTAGTAGCCAAATGGAGCTTGACAAATATTCTCGATATATCTATGTGTTTTGCAAACGTAAATGCCTAAAGCCTAGATCCGCCCAATACACAACATATACATATACATAAACATATACATATACATATACATATACAGATATATATACATATACATATACATATACATATACATATACAGATATATATATATATACATATATATGTCGATACATTTCGAACGTCAACAGAACTGTGGATATATTCTGTCCAGCAAAAAGCGAATCGAGTCAAAAAATCGCAAGCAACAGGATACACACACACACACACACATACACATATGCACCCATGCGCCCATACAAACTGAAACTCACACAAACACAAAACACACACACACACAAACAGTTACAGCCATAGAAATGGATTTAAAGAAAAAATACGATTTTAAATGTTAGCTATAAGCGCAGTTCCATACCAAAAAATATCTCAATGTGTAAATGTCTAAAGTTAAATCAAGAATTTATGGTCAAATAGACAATTAGCCAAGTAAACTAACCAAGTAACTAACCAAAATACATGCATACATAACCCGCATATAAACCATATTCCAAAGCAAACTTGAGCCGATGCTCTAGCATTCCCTCACCATTAACCACACACATACATATGCATATGCAACAGCAACTAAGCAACCTACACACACACATATAACATACATCAATATCAACATATTTACATCTATGTGTCTATGATCCAATTAAACGTAAACTCTAAACAAACATATGCGAAACCAGAAAGTATTTCCAACAATTACAATTTCAATGTGATGCATTTCTATGACCACACTCACACACTCACACACACTGAGGAGCAACTGAAACGGTAGCGAAAAACTAAAACTATGAACTATCCTATACGATCCACGTGGATATATATTTATGTAAAGCTGTCGCCCGATTCAAAGATTTACAGATTCACATTCAATCTGCCGCTGACATCGCAGGGCATTAATCGGACGGCAGTTCTCTATATCTATATACAAGCTTACATATATCTACATATATACTGAAATTTATGTGTATTTAATAAATGTTTATTCTATAAGCCTCATCTGAGTGTCATTGATTCAATTTTGGAGGGCGCGAATTATTATATATTTTACACATTTTTGTTGGGGTTTTTTTTTTTTTTTTTGTTGGAGTTTTTKTTTATTCTGGAGCGCTCTGTTGGCGTGATTAATGATTGGAAGGACCTCCAGGTTCATGGTCGCATGATGCACATCATCAAGAGCATTTGAAACAGTCTGAAATAAATGTTAAACATATAGAAAAAAAAAAAAACATGCACAACCAATATTGCTTGTTTTCGTTTTACAAAAATGGGCTCTATAACTTTTGGCTGCTGCGACAGCCAGCAGGCCCAGCAGGACCCTCCAAATGTTTACCAGACATCAGCTTAGACCATTAGCCAAACTAACTTAGTAGCGACCACCTACTATTCGTGACTCTAATAGCAGAGCTCACCACACACACACACACACAAACACAGCGCTGTGACTGTAGCAAGGGCACAGCTTACAGCTGAGGGCTATGCGAGCAACAAGCTGAATAAACACCCACAGTTATTTAACATTGCTGTTAGTTAACAGAGTATCGAGCTTTTCATGCTATCGTTTCCGTAACTTTTTCGGAGTAAATAAAGCTTTAAAGCACACATTGTGCGATTCTGACCAATAGCTTCTCAAAGCTTGCAAAGCGCTCCGCATAGGATATCGAGCACACACTTAAGCTTTATTCCTAACCTACCACCAATTACCATTTATGTACTTAATCACTCATATGTGTACATCAGGTATTTGCTAATTTCGGACCTTCCTTATTTGCAGACAGAAAAGCTCATGTAAATTCATTATGTAAGCATCATTGGTAGATGCTGAGCCAAACCAACAGATTTATGAAGTTATTGCAAGTGAGTCCTCTGATTGGCTCATCGAAAACGCGCATGTGGCGAATCAGAGACGCTGGAGTGCTGAGCAACAATAACAATATGCAGTTGGAGTGCTTGTGCAATGCTACTATGTAGAAGAGTGCAGTATATGTGCAGAAGAGGGACGGCAGACTGCATTTGATTCCTAATAGGAATTTCCTATGCTGCTCGCATAGTTTGTTGTTGTTGCTGCTTCGTCGACATCGTTGTTTTTGGACTCCACGATGAATGATCGTGCGCGTTTGCCGAATAGACACGAAGCTCTGGAGGACGGCTTAAGCTATGTTTTTGTTTTTGTGGCTTCGTTAGCAAGCGAGCTCAGTACATACAAATATGTATATGTATGTACATGTGTGAGTATGATTGCGAATGCAGAGTACATATCGTTCGTGCATTGGAGAAGCAGAGTGAGCGAGACAGAGGTTCATTCAATTAGTGTAAACCGTTAATTTAGCTGGCATTTATTTCTGCTGCCAACAAAAAGAGATGCAAAATGGGCAAATTGGATGAACTTTCGTATATGAATTAAAAAACGTGCTATTTGTTCACATAAATTTTTAA